CCCCAAAACCCCAAAACCCCAAAACCCCAAAACCCCACTAAATCTGTGATCAAAGATACTATCCAAGTATTGATATATTGATATAAATATTCATTCATAAAACTCTAATTGCTTGAGATCAGGTGTACAGCCAAATGTTGCAGAATTAATTCCTGAGTCATTTTCTCTGATGTGGAAAAACCCTTTCATTCCCCAGCCAGCTCCCCATGAGTTAGCGACAATCCAATACTTCTCTTATCCTTGAACTCCCCATCCAATTATCTTGACAGCATGACCTCCCTTGGCAGGACCCTTGACATGGTGGTAGATTCCACTTCTGTAGCTGAAGAAGTCTGAATAGACAGTGAATGCAGTTTCTACTGGCCCTGAACTATAGATCAGAGCTTTAGTGGCATCGGCTCCTCTGGCTACTTTGGTTGAGCCTGCTACACACTTATATCTTCTCATTTTCTAGCCATTGGCACAAGCAGCGGGGCATTAAGGCACTTTACCACCGCTCGACTTGTATGGCTCACAGTCTTCAGAAGGTATGCCATTGGCTTCAAAATACTTCCAAGCCTTGTCAAGCCATCCTCCATTGCAAGCATGATTGGCCTTATTACAAGATACTAAATCCTGAGCTGAAAGCACTCCATGTACATTCCCTTTGGAATGAATGCAGAATCTATCAGACAGAGCCTCAGAAGCTCCAAACGCCCAACATGATCCGCACCTAGCTTAGTTTCTAATGGGATGAATGCAGTCTCCCCACCTTGTCCTCGAGTCAAAGGATGTTGGTACAGCTTCCAAAGCATGAACGTCTGAAAATTCAGATACATCACCGATTGCGGCTCCTAAAAGAGTGGATAACTCTTCATCTGTGTAGTTTGCAAAAGCGTTATCATTTAATTCTGCTGGCTCCCACATGGCATTTGCTGATCTTATCTCATCTAGCATATGTTGATTCACAACTGAATTTGTATAGGCAAAAGAAGCCAATCCTCCCAGGACAATTATTCTTGAAATCATTAGATATTTTATTAAATTATTATAATTTTTGTCAGCAATCTTATTAAAATAATTTAATATCACTTTTTTATAAATATAGAAATCTTATTATATTGTCAAATAAAATGGATTCCTATTTGGATTACTATAATCAGCACTCACGAACAATGTCCATAATAAAAGAGGAGGAAGATGAGTAAAGTTTTGCCAACAAACCAAGAGTATTGATTAATGATGAGTCTTCGCAATACGGAGACTATGGGGATAATGCCTTCGAGGAAGCTTACTAGAATCACCTAGAGGGACAGACAACTGAGTTCTTTGAAGATAATTTCTAGTACGATGATAATTTTGTGAGAACTCCAACTATTGTCCCTGGGAAAGGTTAAACCAATAATCATGGGATATTCTTAGAGCTGGGAAGCAGAGAAGAAGGCTCGACAGTCAGTAAGCTTAGCAGGTACTGTAGAAGTGATGCTATACTTGAATCTGAGCAATATGAGGGATACTTAGAAAAGAAGTCGCCAAAGCTTTTAGTCGGGTGGCAAGTAATAATTATGGCATAAATCATAAATCAATATAGAGCAGGTACTTTGTCCTCAAGGAAAGGAAACTCTATTACTACAAGAAGAAGGAGTTGACTGACAAGCCTAAGGGTATATTTAACTTTGAAATGGTAGAGGTTACGATAAAGCCCAATGTTCATAAGAAGTATTTCAAGTAAGCATCAATAGTTTTACTGTTTTCCTGTCATTATCATCAGAAATAGCCATATGAATCTGGTAATTGATAAACTTTTTTAATAGATTATTGATGAAGGGTGTTAGCAGGGTATTCAAGTTTAGATGCAAGTCAGTGGACGACCTTAACATATGGATTTACAGACTAATGAAAACAGTTGAGAGGTCGAGAGGCTACATGCTAAAGCTAGGAATAGATGAGAAACAGCTCTCACTTAAGTCCTGGAGAGTAAGAATATTTCAAAGCATTTGATTATAATGTTTTATGAAAAGTTTGATAGGATAAGTGAGGAATAGTTTTTAAGGCAAGCTGATATAGGGGATGTCTTGCTATTCAGAGGGAACAATTTTGGTGCCAAAATCACTAGAGGATTTACTTAAAGCAAGTTTGGTAAAACAATAGATAATAAATTACATTCATTGGTAGATCATGTTGCTCTGATACTTAAATTTGACGCTGAGCCTGATGAATTGTTCTTCCTAGATGCCACTTCCAACCTTGTAATAATTTCTATATAATATTTGGTAGGGAGTCTAAATAACTAGGTGGAGTAGATTCAGATTATTTAAGAACCAAGTATACTCTAGGTAAATAGATCTAGTAATGTTCATATAGTTTGGTGTTCCGCCACTTGTACTGCGACAGGTCAGAGGATTTTCTGATGAAGCTGGAAACATTCATCAGGACTGTTGTCGGCAATAGATTCGAAATCTCTTTGAAGAAGCTGTTCTTTTAGAGAAAGACCGTAGCTCAGGACATGGATAAGAGACAGTTCTTTTGCTCTGAATTGGTGACCAAGTCCTACAAAGAACTAGGCTTGGTTGAAACAGAGAAGTCTAGCTGCAGATTCTTCCCGCATGACTTTAGCAAGGACGGCAAGATAGCGATGACTGGGGACAACAAACTGGGAGATGAGATGCTGATTGAATTTGATGAGGAGTAGATCAAGAAAGATTATGACCAGTTTTTGGTTACTCAGCAAGTCTTGTTGAATCAACTTGACCAAACAGCCATTAACAGTGAGTCTGTGCAGACTAATTCAGTTATTTAGTAAAATTAATGATTAGTTAATATAATAAGTCGAAGTCATGAAATTAATTTAATAATTATTTGAATTCTTTAATTAGATTTAACTACATCTTCATTGTCAATCAGTAAACCTTAGTTGTCATTACAATTGCTGTTTATGATGATTGCTAGCACTCTAGTACTAATAAATCAACTGTGCTGGCTGATTATTTATGATTACGTGTTGCTACTGCTATTACCTTCTGTCCCTCGACTTAGTCTTTTTAATGTTATAATTCTGCAGATTTTCATCTTTATTAGTAATCATCTCCCTTGCTGAAATCTAAGCACTTTTACCTGCTCCCTTTGTCTTTACCTAGTTTAAATTCTTAAGTCCTAAATTCTGCTTTGGGACTGCTTTCTTTTACCCGCCTCTGTTGGTGTTAGCTTAACTGGCTTGGTAATACTGGTGGTCTTGATTTGGCTTTATCTATTATGGCTGTTCATTTTTAAATTGCTGTGACCTCTTAACTGATTTTTACCTTCTAGCAGTCAGCGGCTATCCTCCATTCGCATTCTCAATCCTTAAAATATATTATTATTATATTTGCTTACATTTAGTTGAAGTTTGATATGATGGCCTAATGAAACTTTATTCTTTTGAGTAGATCGTTTCTTTTCTCAGCTAACTGTCTAAGAAACTTCTCCTTTGTGTTGTACTCTCTGAGTATCTCCTCGAAATATTTGAATCTCTGATCATAGTCATAGTAATTTTATTATTGCTACTGCTGCTATTAAACCTATTGAGAAATTTAGTTAGTCTACTGTTCTTGCTATTTAAGTATATTCAACTGATATTCATACTTATTAAGCTTTTCCTTTTAGTAACAGAGAGTTCTTTCCTTGATGAGCTAAGTCATTGGAAAATCATTCTCATTTAAGTATTAATCATTACCGTTTCCGAATATGTCGTTGGCATTAGATTCATCTATATTGCCACTGCTACTAATAGTATCATCATAATGGTAATAGCTGGGAGGTTGTATCAGATCCATAATTGAGATAGCTTACTAATCAACGATTTACTGCTACTAAGTGTACTAGTTGCTGTTTCCAACACTAACTTGATGATTTAAATGACCATCCTTAATGGACTCCTCTCTCAAGAACTGATTGTAGATATTTTTCTCAGGTTCATTCTTAGTTCGTATTACTTAGTGATTCTTTGGTGGCAGTATCAAGATCTTGCTTTAGAACTCTTTTGATATCTTTTGCTCATTGATATTTGGTTCAACGATTAGATTATCACTGGCATCTATACTATCCAAAATGCTTCTTTTCTATCTCCTAGACTTCTTTTGCTAGTTATTTAGATTATCTTGCAAGGATGGGAGTGGTGTAGCTAGTGATTCTAATTCTTGTATTGTCTCACAGTGAGATATTAATTCGTGAAAATTGTCTTGTAGCTTCTACGTCAGGTCAAAGTTATTGTTACAATAAGTGGGTTGTTTCAAACTATCAAACAGGTTGTTCAATGAGTTATCAAGATGAGAATCTTGATTAACAGCTGAATTCCCAGAGGAGAGCAAGTTTTTCTAGAAAATAAAAGGTGATCTGTTTGAAGAGTCTCCTTCACCCCCACTAGCCAAGTTAAGCACACCATCCAGTTTCCCACTTGAAGAGTCTATGCTAAATAAGGACTAGCCACTCTTCCCAGCATCCTTCACCTTTTCATCATTTACTTTTTATGACTGATTGGCATTCTCTGAGCTATTATTCTCATAACTTATTCTATTTTCATTTTTAATTTTACCCTGCAGCTTCTAATCCCTATTTATCTCTCCAATCATTTATTTAAGTTCCTCGACATCAGCCACTTTGTGACCAATAGATGAATCTAATTCGTTTGAATTCTTTTTCTGTAGATTATTCTATATTCTGCTTATTTTAATCAGGTTTGTGATATTTTGTGGTGTCTTAGATGCTCCAAGGAAGGAGTTACTTCTTTAATTGTTTAGTAAATACGAGGAGTTTGAAAGATCTATAGGTGTAGTGCTACCCTGTAACTTCACATTGATTGGACTCTTAGTTTAACTCATATCTGGTTCAATCATACTCTAATTGGAGGTCTCAATCTAAAGCTACCTGATTCTATTGAATAGATGTCCCCTACCTATTCTATTTTTGCTATGCCCTACACTTTTAGGCGAGCATCTTGACTTCCTCTCGCCTTACTTAATGCTCAATTGCATAGATAAGTCCATTTATGTGTAGTCATTAAAATCGTCATCATTTTGCCTCATCATATCATCTAGCTTTTTCCTTTCTAAAATCTGGGTTGTGGATATTCCAGAGTTTTTCTTTCTAAGGTAGTATCTGACTTGTCTCTAGATTAATAAAGCAGCATCATGACGTTTCTTGAGCTGAAATTTGAACAGTCTGTTCTTCTCGTCAATCTCTTCTTAAAGTTTCTTAGTCTCTTGCTCTAGAATCCACTGGTCTAACAGTTTCTCGTTTTCTAATTCTTGCTAATGCTCAATTTCTTGATATTTTTTATACACTAATACTGCATACTCTTATCTTGCTCTCCAAGCTCTAAAATACTTTTAGATAATAGTAGCAGCGTCTATGTGCTTTTTGAATTATACATCAATCTTGCTTAATTTAGGAATATTAGAACTTCCTTTATACACTACTTCATGGGCGAGTTTAGGGTTAAATTGCATCAGGACATTGAAAGTTCTCTTTTTCCTATCAGTCAGCTTCTTCTCAAAATACATAGAGCAAGAATCAGTACTTCTGTTATGACTTTAGCTTTTAATTGCTATCGATGGTTGTGGCATGATAGAGTCGATTTAGCCATCACTGATGTTATTATGACCTCCCTACTTGTCATTAATGACTTACTGCACACTTCTCGCATGAAGGCTTGAGTAATGCTGCTCATTATCTCCATTGTTTAAATTCTATCTATAGAACTCTTATTGCATCTAATAGTTGATTTCCATAGTTGACTTGCGAAGATGATCTGACCTTTTTTAAACTTTATATATCTTTTTCTAGTAAGCATCTTTAAATTTATTCGGGGGCTTGGCGATGCTACTTATGTTGTACTCTGAAATGGACTATACATGCATATAGTTAATTGATGGTTACTACGATAGGTCTGAATCCATGTAGTTACTATTGCTTTCCTGGTGTTAAGTTTGGTATTGTATTAACATATTTCTGTGAGTTTGAAGAAATAAAGTAAAGAGAAGTGATTTGATTTATTGCCCTTTTTAAGTTATTAAATTTATTATTCAATTCAAATTTATATACTTTTATCCGATATATTACCAGATGGGGTTTTGGGGTTTTGGGGTTTTGGGG